CTACGGCCTGATTCATTCAATCAACAAACATTTACCAAGCAGCAGACGCAGAGAGGAGACCAGCACAAAGTGCCAAAAGGACTCACGTCTGGACCCAAAGTGACCGAACCAGAGGTGGGAAAGTAGAGGAGTCGTTTAAACAGTGGTGGTGTGAACAAGACACCCCGCAGCCATTTAAAACCAAGTTGGAGAAGTCCATTTAATGAGGGAAAGTTCCAAAAATATCTGATCAAGTTTTAAAGAGCAGAAAAACAGGTTGGGAAATGAAAGTGTCTCAAAATCAGAGTGAACGCACGCGGTAGATTCCCTCTTCTGTCTCTAAGACATAGAACTTTTACAGAGACCTGTAGTTATTTTAAAATGTACACAGTATTGCTTGGAAATAAGAAAAGGAAGTCATAGATCAAAACCACGGAGGACTTCCCCCAAAATGCGTGAATTAAAAGACAAGAGTCAGGACTGGGGCGGTGGGGAGGGGGAGCCTGGTGGTAGAGCATATGTGCACTTACTGTCACAAGGCCCTGGGTTCCATCTTCAGAGAGAGAGAGAGAAGGAGGGAGGGAGGGGGAGGGGGAGGGAGGGAGGGGGGAGGACTCTCCAACTTCAAGTAGGAATCAAAGCCACTTGATCCTCAGGGGAATGGGTCCCACCCAATGGGTCCCCAGGTCTCAACACCCCCTGGGGAGAGGGGACAGACAGCAGAATTGTGCTGCTGGCTACGATCGGGGCTGGCACAGGTCCCACCACCAAGAGTCCCAGCCCAAGAGGAGACCCCTGTCTGAGTCAAGGAACTAAAACCAAGTCCCCCGTGGGAGACGAGGGCCCAGGCCTGCCCCAGCTCCGTCCAGCGGGAGAAGGCTGTGGGCCCAGCTGCTGACACAGCCCTGAGGGAAGTCCTCACCCTTACAGATAAGGGACAGAGGGGACCCTAAAGTCACCCTGAAAACCAGCTCCAACAAAACCTAGAGGACCCAGGAGACCTCGGATCCACAGCTCTGCACTCGGGAGGGCTCGTGACGGAAGACGCTGGGCGATGAGAGAAAGAGCGTGTGGCCAGAAGGCCCCCAGGGCCCAGGAGGGGATGTCAACATGAGGAGAGCTGTTCAGAGAAAGTTAGGGAGAAGGGCCCAGTCAGGCACCCTGGGAATGCGGCCGACCATTGTGGAAGTTAAACTCAGAGAGGCAAAATGATAGACCAGCCACACAAAATCTCCCCAAAGCACAAAGAGAGAACCCAGAAAAACAGGAACGAGTGTAGTTCTATGGTCAAGGAACCACAATGTGCGCGGAACCAGAAGGAGAGAACAGAAACCTGGCAGAAAGGAAACATTAACAGCGGGGCTGAGATTTTTCCAGAATCAAAGAAATACCTGAATTTTCTAAGAAAAGGCACAGAATGCAAAGTACAACAGGCAAACCCCACACAGTGGTATGATCCCAAACCTGTAACGTAATCAACCCACAGAGCCTAGAAGGAGATACAGCAGAATGGCCGCAGAACCTTTTCCTGGTGACACTATGGGGAGCAAAATTTTAATCTCTTCTTTAAACTTTAATGTCGTTTCTAAGTGCTCCACAATGAAAAGATGCCGTTTTATAAAGTGGCTGTGGAAGAGGAGCATTTGTGATTTCAAATACACAGATACACACACACACACACACACACACATTTTTTAAAAAATCTTGCCTGGATGGACTTACTCCTTTAGCCGAGGAGACAAGATGCTTACAGAAAGCAAAACCCGATCAGCCACAGCCATGGACGATGGCTAAAGTCTGTGTCTTGACGAGTCCCAGGACACGGAGCAGGAAGACCAAGGTCCAGCCATGCACTGGACTTGCTGGGGGACCAGTCCTGCAGCCAGAGTGTCTGTACCCCAGGCAGAGCCAAAATCACCAAACCCAGAGAAGACTGGAACATTAAGCACTATTTTCACCTCTGATTTAATTATATTTCAGGACCACCAACTGATATGGGGAAAATTAACACCTCCGCTGTCAATTAGATTAACACCACAAAATCTGCCAGTCAACATCTCAATTATGATAAGACTTTGTTCTTTTCTTCGGGTAAGCTGAGGGAAAGAAGAAAGTGTGTGTGTGTGTGTGTGTGTGTGTGCGTGTGTGTGTGTGCATTTGTGTGTGCGTGTGTGTGCATGCGTGCGTGCGTGTGTGCGTTTAACTGGTACATTAACAGCCATCCTCACCCACGGGGCACTACTACACTGCCAATGGAGAAGTGAAAATGACAAGATGTGTTCCGGACAACTGTACCAAGTCAGCGTCATCATGGGGGGAGTCACAGGTGCCCTGCGGATTTGGAGAGGTTGAAGCTTTGGGGTCATCACGCCATCGGCGTGCCCAAGAAAGGCAGAGTTTTAGGACACATCCCAGGCTGCCTTTGGAGCCAAATAAACACCCCACGACACTCAGCCCTCAGGGAACAGGTGGCAAAGGCACATGCCAACCAGACGTGTTACTAATGGAAGGAGAGGCTCTTCCCATCTCAGATGATTTCTTTCCTTTTTAAACACATCCAGGTTTCTCAAAATATCGCCCCTTCACACGTCACCTGCCCGTCCCACAGAGGGGACACAGCATCTGCCCCAACACTGTCCCCACTGACTTCTCGACTCCCAACCATCTGGCCTCATCCCCAACAGTTCCACCAGAACCACAGGCAGCCTCCCCCAGACCACGCCAAAACCCAGCCACAGTGGGGAGTGTCCAACCTCCTCCGCCATTTTGAGCCGATGCATCCTTTCTCTCCCCTCCTGTCCATGCCTCCTCAACTCTCTAAAATCCCGCCTTCTCTGGAAATGACCTTTCTTTCCTGCCTCTGCCTTCTCCCGATTCATACTTCCACCCGCATCTTCATAGGCGGGGAGGGGGGTGGTCCCCTAGGACCACCTGCTGCCACCCACACCCACTGATGTCTCAAAACTCGCCTTGTCATGGTCCCTTCCAGGGAAGGCAGTGGCTGGTCTAGGCGGTCAGAGCCTGACATTCACTGGGTCAAGTTTCACAGGTGGGCAGGGGGGTGCTGGTCCACGAACACACCTCGTTTCTGTTTTTCTGCCTACAGGCAAGTGAGTAAGTCAGGGGAAAGGCTGCACACCCACCTGTCAGTCTTAGAAGACAGACAACTGGAAAGACACTCAGGACTACCAGACCCAAGCCACCTTCCCAGATTCTCCTCGAATCAGAGTTTTCCACTAGGCTGTGTGGGGCCCCCTGGGTTCTAGAAATTTCCCCTTCAATATGGTTATTGTTTTGTGTGTGTTGAGTCAGAACGTCAAACAGGAGGTGGGATCGTGGTGATACTGAGACCCCATGGTAATATTTAGAAGCACTGCCCCAGCCCCTGCTGGACACCGCTGTTCTCCCTCCTGGCCGGTCCTTCCTGCGTACAAGCCCTCAAGCCGAGATCCCTGCACCACTCCGTGGCTCAGTACCTCCTAAGCAATGAGGCTTCTTTCCGGGCTTCCTGAAGAATGGGACGGCCAAAGGAAAGGACGGGCTTGACGTGGTGAGATGTAAGATTGCAGCTTGAGACCAGAAACCAGCTATCTAGTCCCATCCCCCACGACGCGGTCTAGCGAGTCTCTAAACTCCATCGGGAAGTTAGAGGAGACTCTGGTAAACCCCAAGGCCCTTTCCACTTCTGAAATGGCCCATGCACTAGGGGCAGAGCGTGGCCATTTCTTTCATCCAAGAAAGGAGCACCCAACACTGAGAGGTAGCGGGGAGGACATTCAACCACACACAGGGAGCCGCTAGGCTGCAAACCATTTAAAAAGAATGTTTAATAAGATGTCACACCACTGGCGCACTTCAGCGGAATGTGTTGCAGCCCAGGAGGCCTGAAAGAATTAACACAATTCCCAGAGGGGCCAGTGGGAAGTGCTGAGCAGAGCCAGAACCCGATTTGGTGAAAATAAAAGTGCTCTGAGAACGTCAAAGGGAAAGAGACAGATGTCTGCCAGCCGACTAGGATGTCTCCTGCCATCTGAGGAACCTGAAGGTCTAGGGGCTGGGGACCAGCCCGCCAGGACACCCCTTCCTCCCCTTCCGGACCGACTCCCGTCCTGGCCTGCATGGAGTCAGAGTGCACCACACCTCGCTCCTTCCTTTTTCTCATTCTTCGTTTTCCTTCTCCCTTCCAACCTGGCCCTCTCCCTCCAATTCAGCAAATCCCCCATCAGGCCCCCAGAACATCTCCCGCAAACCCCTCTCCAAACCAGTGCTCCCGAGCTGCCCGCAAAAGGACCTTCCCTGTCCCCCTAAGCCAAGAGATTTGGGCACACTCTATTTCATTTTGAAACTCTTCCATTTCAAGACCAAGATCCATGATTGGGTGCCAGTTCCTCCTGTGAGGGTCTCAGAGCCGCTGCCCCAGGACCATCCCTACACAAGGGTCATGTCAGGCAAAGGCCAGGGCCCTGCCCTGGGCCTGGAGCCACTGCTCCCACTCAGACCCATAGGGAGAGGAGGGTCCCTCCCAGGTCCCTCCAGCCTAAGGCTTCTCAGACTGCTGGCCCCTATAGTTCATCACCCAGGGTCCCGAGAAGCAGGATAGCTTCTGTCCTTTTGTGTTTTGCCTAAAATCTCACCACAACAGACCCACCTTTATTATGTTTTTCAAGTGATTTTTGTCACTTGTCACAAGAAGGAAAATGGGGACGCTTTCCCACGCGATCTGGTAAAGTCAATATTAGAGGAACCTGAGCCATTCTGCTCCAGCGCTCCGGGCTCCCTCTGCGCGCGCTACTTGGAACCTCCATTCCTCCTCCCACTTCCGCATTTTCCACCTTCTTTGTGGCACACTCGGTGCCCCCCAGGACCTCACTCTCAGAACCAAGGCTAAAGCCATTTCCACTCGTTTCCCAGCGGGGCCAGAGGTCAAGACTCCTCCCGCCTTCGGACTGCTGGGGGACGGGCCAGGGGAGCCCGAGGACCTGCGTGGCTGCCATATTCGGCGGGCGCCCTCGGGGTCTTACCTTGTCAGCCATGATCATAGATGCGCCCCCGTGGATGCCCAGGATGGGGATGAAAGTCTGTGAGGAGATAAAATCCAGCATCTGGGCCACAGCCTCTTGGTCGGTGTCGTCCCCAAACACCAGGCCGTGGATTCGCGCCCCGGACATGAGGTCGCACACGTGCGTGATGAGGCTCTTGGGGTCGGTGCGGTTCATCAGCAAGGCCACCACGTTCACGTCCAGGGGCAGCCCCGCTGCCTGCTCGGGGCCCCACAGATTTCGAAGTTCGCGCTCTGTCACGTCGTGGCTGTGACCCAGCAGCACCGCAATGTTCAGCGCTGGGGGACCCTTCTCCGCCGCCGCGCCCTGCGCCGGACCGCGCCAGACCAGAAGGGCCGGCAGCACCAGCAAGGTCCAATAGCCCAGTCTGCCCATAGTCGCCACTTACGGTCCCTGCAAGGTGGAGAGCGAGAGGCAGGGCGGCGGTGAGCGAGGGGCCCGGATGAAAGGGACTGCCGAGCGGCGCCAGGCGCGGAACCCAAGCGCAGCCTGAGCCGCTGTGGTCACTCGCTCCATCCCCTGTCCCCGCCAGGCGGACCTCTCGACCCATCTACCACCCTACCTACAGCTCCAGGCCGAGCTAATTCTCCACCCCTGTCCCCAAGCCCATTCTCGAATCCCGCCTCCTTCTCCTCCCCCGTCTCCAGACGTTTCCCCATCCTGGGCTCTGAGCACATCCCCCACCACGTTCCCCAAGTTAGCTGCAGACTACAGCCCCCGATGGCCCAGGAAGCCATGGACCCCGCCCAGCCGGTGGGTGCACAGGGCAAATCCTCTCTCCACCGTCTACCCCCGGGGTAGCGCAGACCAAGTTACCGACCCCGCCCCCTGCTCACGCGGAGCCAACTACAGTTCGGCCCCGGCGCGCGGAGGCGGCTCCGCTCTCCTCATCTTCCTGAGCCCTGAGCTAGTTGACTGACCCCACCTCCTTCGATCCCACCCGGTGCGCTAGCACCGCTGCAGACCTGCTTCTCTCCTACAGGATTCACCCCAAGTGCTTGGAAGTCAGGATGCTCGCTTTGGAGTCCAGGCTCCATGGAGCCTGGGGGAACTTGGGGCCCACCTCCGCCCCCTTGAGCCCAGGGGCCACGGAGCAGCTTTCACTCAATTGCAAGCGTCCCAGGACCCGCCCCCTACACACTCGCGTGCACACAAGCGCGCACACAAACACCCTCTCTCACGCGCGCCATGTGCAATGCAGAATTCCGGAGAGTAGGCGCGTCCCCCCGCGGGCCAGCGCGTAGGAGCTGGCAAAGAACGTGCGTGGGGGGAAAGGTAGGCTCCCAAGAAGCTCTCAGACAGACGAGGACTGTACAGCCCCTCCCCGGCCTTTCCACTGCGAACCCTATTGCCAAATCTTAGATGCACGTGGGCAGTGGGCTGCACACGCTCACAGACCACGCGCGCTTTTCTGCGCACATCCGCAGGCCGCCGTAGAGATGCCCACGACCAGCAGGAATCCCCACACGTCCTCAGGAGGTGCACACGCATGTGTCGCGACAAGAGTAGAGCTGCGCTTGCCTGTTAATACCAGCACAATCGTGCACGCGTGTGCAGGCGCGCGCCCCTCTGGCCAGCCACTGTTGGAACCGGGGGAACTTGGGGCGAAGTCGCACCGGCCTTGGCATTCTTTGGGTGAGCACCGCGGAGTGCGTGGCCGCAGCGCCCCCTGGTGCTCCTCTCGCGCCTCACTACTGGGCTCCCTCTCCCGCTTTCTCTTCTCCCTCTCTCCAGATCCCTCTCCCGCTCTCCCTCCAATCGAGCCTCTTTCCTCCCGGCCCACCGAACCCACATCTCCCGCTGGGACGTACCTGTAGCCGGAGAAGGTCGAGGATGCAGTGGGGCGCGCTGCGCGCACGAGCATCTCGGCCGCCTCAGCAGCCACCGGGTTTAGCGGGTTCCCGCATGCTGCGGCCCCCGCGCGCTCCCCTGGCTGTCCCGCGCTGTCCGCATCGCCCCCACGGGGGGCGGCTATCCCAGCCGGAGGCTCTGCAGCAGGGCTCTACCGGGGCGGAGGAGAGATGGAGAAGCAGGGTCAGCCCCCGGCACGGGGAAGGGGGGTTGAGGGGAGAGCTGCATCTGCAATGCTCACAGCCCCCCTGTGTGCCCTGGGGGCTCGCCCAGAGAGGGGAAGCTGAAGCTCAGTGCCCAAGACGCCCTCAGTGCGGATCCTCGGTCCCTGTGGCTGATAACTGTAGCTCCACTCAGGGGCGCTCGGCAGAATGGGAGCCCCAGGTTGGCCACCCACGGGAAGCTAACTGGGTACCTCCACCCTCTCGCCCCCTACCACCTCCCCGGAGCCGGCTGCTGGGAGTTGTGCGACCAGGAGCTGCTGAGCGAAGGGGGTAGGGAGAGAAAGAGGAGGGAAGGAGGGGGCGCTGGCGGAGTTTGCGACGAGCTGGCAGGAGGAGAGGGGGAGGGAAGGACGCGGGCACCCGCGGTCCCGGATCCCCGAGGGAGGTGCGATCACTCCCACGTAGCGACCCTCTTGCGGTCCTGCCTCCCCCTCCGATCCAGGCCTTCCACCAACCCCCTCCCCAAGGGGGCCTCCGAGGCTCCGCGTCCCGCGCCAGCACTCACCGCAGCCTCTCTCCACATAGTTCTCAGCAGTGGCCGCTCCTGGTCATCTCCAGGGCTGATGGCTGCGGCCGTGACTCTCAGCGCTCATCCGGCCCCATGCTCCAGCTAAGCCCTCGGAGCCCGCTCCAAGAGCCCCCGCTCGCTTGCTGCCCCGCTCCGGACGGCAGCCGCCTGGTCCTCGGAGCGCGCCGGAGCACCCTCTCCGCAGCCCAGCTCCAGGCTGGTGTGTGTGAGGCGAGTGTGTGTGAGAGTGGAGGTGGGAGCGCGCGCGCGCGTGTGGCCGGGGATCCCCGCGGTCCCCGGCCGAGAGAGGCGCGGGCGGGGGAAGGCTGCTCCCTCGGGGCCCTGGGCTGCGGGGCCAGCGCGGCTCTGGCCGTTCGGTTCCCCGCTCCTCCGCGGGAGTCCAGAGCGCCCGGCCACCCTGGTTCACAGCTCTGGCCACGCCAGGTTCCTGGGGCTGGCTTCTGCCGCGGTCGCCTCCCAGGAAGAGGAAGAGGAAGGCAGGGGCGCCCAGCACGCCAACTTAGGGACTTGTTCTTGGCCACCAGCGCACAGCCCCCGCGCCAGCCCGAGACGCCTGGAGCTCCGCGGGGCGAGAGCGCCCTCCGCCCGCAGCCGTCCTCCCCGGAGGCGGGCCGAGGCAGACCCCGCAGTCCCTCGGCGGCGGCGCGGAGCGCGGCCACCCGCTCCCGGAGCGCACGGCGGCGAACCAGGCCGAGAGAGGTGACTGGCTGGTGACGGGGGCGCCTGCGGTGGCGCGCGCGGCGGTCCCCGGTGCTGGATCCACGCTCTCCGCCCGCTCCCGGGCGTCTGGTGCCGCTGAAGAATCAATTATTCAGGTCTCCGCTGCCGCTTCCTCCTCCCCCAGCGCCTCGCGGGAACAGCGGTCCCCCCGCCGGCACAGCCGCGCCGACACGCACACACCCGCACAGGGAGTCTGCACGGCGCCCCCGCCGGTGCCTCACCGCCCCCGCCCGGAGCCCACTCCCCTGGTGTCCCGGAGCCAGAAGCCCAGGGGCCACGACACCTACATCCGCGTCCCTCCTGGCTTTCTAAGTTGCACCTCACAAAAGTCGCCCTGAGGTGCCACTTCTAAACCACCAGAAGGCCGAGCCAGGAAACCTGGGACGAACGGGTGTGTGGGCTGTTGGCTGCAGTTCTGGCCACCTGGCATGGAACCGGCAGCGAGCAGAGGAGCCCCTTCTGCCGGCACCTGCCCCTCCAACGCCGCCTCTGCCTCTCTCCCCCGCAGGCCCTGGAAGGAAAGCGCTCTTAGATCTTAGGGGGGTTTAAATTGTCCAAAGCTACACCCTCCACTTACCAGCCTGATGTCCCCTGCTGAGGTCTGAAGGTTTGTGCCGCCCATTCATAGGTTAAAATCCTAACCCTTACGGGACATATTGGGAGTAGGGGGCTTCATGGGGTGATTAAATCGTGAGCGCAGAATGACCAGGGCTCTTAGAAGAGAGACTCCAGAGAGCTAGCTAACCCTTCCCTTTCAGACAGAAGGTGCCACCCCTGACCCAGAACCCAGCCCTACCAAACACTGAGTCTGTTTTGCCTAGATCTTGGGTTCCCAGCCCCCCGGAATTGTGAAAAATAAACTTCTGTGGTTTCTAAGCCGCCCAGGTTATAACGTTTTGTTATAGCAATTCTTCAAAACATCACCTTTAGGCCTTTATTTATCTTCCCTTAATGACTGCTGATCTGGAAAATGGGAGGGGTCAGTAAAAATACTTAATTTCTCAGGGTATTTTGAAAAAAAAAAGGCAAAAGAGTCTTGCTAAAAGAGTCAACACCGTCTGGCACATAGTAGGTGCTCATTAACGATGAGGTCGCTTTAAGGTGCCCTGGAAGGGAGGGTACTCTTTCTAGGAAGCCGGCTGTGACTGCTGATCTGGAGACCTATGGATTTGTTAGTGAGCTGACTGTTGTATGCGAGTTCCCTGGGGTTTTATTACCCAAAAGACAAAGGAAGGGTAGGAAAGACCCAGAAGGCAAATGAAAATGGGGAGCTGTGTGCTCTGAGGCAGAGAATGGGGAAATGACCTGTTTCTGCAGGCCACTGATGGGCAGGGCGGGCAGGCTGGCCCCTCCTGTGAGTGGCAGCAGTCACTCCTGAATTTGGCACAGGGGCAGGATTCTGATTCAGGGATGAATGAGGAAGTTAGGTTGTTTTATTTAAATAAAGTATGAAAGTCAGGAGCCAGGCCCGGTGACACATGCTCAGGAGGCTGAGGCAGGAGGATCACAAGTTCAAAAGCCAGCCTCAGCAACTTTAGCAAAGCCCTGAGCAACTCACTGAGACCCTGTCTCTAAATAGAATTTTTAAAAGGGCTGGGGATGTAGCTCAGTGGTTAAGCGCACCTGGGTTCAATCCCTAGTGAAAAAATAATAATAATAAATAAGGTATAAATTATACGCAATAAAGGGCATGTTATGGGTTGGATCTGAGGTGTGTCCCCAAGAGCTTCTATTAATGCAGGAATATATTCAGAGGTAAGATGATTGGATTGTGAGAGCTGTGACCTGGTGGGTCCACCCGGGTCTGAAGGGACACAGGGCATTTCCATCACTCCCAGAAAGTGCCCTTGTCCTTTGGTCGTCAATTTGACTTCCCCCATCTAGCAGAAATCATAATTTTTATTTCCAACACCATGTAAATAGTTTTGCCTTTTTTCTACCAGGAATTGAACCCAGGAGCACTTAACCACCAAGCCACACCCCCAGCCCCCTTTTTTATATTTTATTTAGAGACAGGGTCTCACTGAGTGAGTCTGGGTTTGAACTCAACAATCCTCCTGCCTCAGCCTCCCCAGCTGCTGGGATCACAGGCACGCGCTACCACGCCTGACCCTTTTGCCTTTTCTGAACGTCCTATGAGTGGAATTGGACGGTGTGCATTCTCGGTGACCAGCTTTTTTTCACTTGGTATCCAGCAGGTCTGTCTATATTGCTGCATGTATGACAGTGTTTGTTTTAAATGTTGAGTTTCCAGCTTTCCTTTTATGAATAAACCACACTCTGTGTATCCAGTCTCCTGTGGACGGACGTGTGAGCTGTATCTGGGGAGCATTTTAAAACCGCGATGTCTACCACAACTTCATTCCATCAAAATCTACAGGGGTGGGGCCAAGCAGGGACAATGTGGTTTAGATTTTTTTTATTTAATTCTATTTTTTATTATTGTAATAATTGAGCATATAATCTTTCAACGCATTCAGCATGCTGTCATCAAATCAGGGTAATCAGTGTTTCCTTATTCTTAACATGTCTTCTACCTTTGGGGCCTTGGAACTGCTCTCTCCTGGGCCTCCATATAACAGGTTATTGTCAACTATTAACCCCTGACTATGCTGAGGAACACTAGGAGTTGGTCATTGTTCTGTGTTTTAGCACCTGTAATCCAATCTCCCCCCAACCCGCTCTGCTACTGCCCTTCCAGCTCCTAAGAGAATCACTATTCTACATTCAGATCAAGTTTTTTCCTAGCTTCCACCAATGAGAGGGAACATGCAGTATTTATCTTTCTGTGTCTGCTTTATTTAGGTTAGCATAAGATTTTTATTCCTATTTATAGCTGAATACTATTCCAGTGAGCCTATGTGTACCACATTCTCTTTACCCATCATTCACTGGTGGACTCCAAGGTTGATTCCACACCTTCGCTATTGTGAACAGTGCTGCAGGACATTGGTTTTAAATCCACTGACAATTCTGCTGATCCCTACATTTTCCATTCTTGAACGTAGATACTCTCCTGGAAATGGATTCGTTGATGAAAACCACTGTATGGGGAGCCGGGAGTCATTGGTGCCCAAACTTGTGGAAAGGTGGAGAAGGCAGATGTGGTCTCTTGAATGGAGGAAGAAGACAGTCGCTCATTCAAAGGAACTTTCGGTCCTTGAAGACTGCCACTGTCCGCTTGTGTTGCACGGGGATGGACGTGTCCCCAGCGTGCTGAGCCCTTGGGCCAGCCACCACCCACGTGCACGGGATCCTGACAGCCTTCCCCATGCAAAGCCGCAAAGCTAGAGCCACCCAGAGCCTAATTTGCTGAGTAGGATGTTGTCACTCAGGGGCTTCGGATGGCAGGCCCCCTGCATCACAGCTATCCCACCCAGGACCGAGTTTTAAAAGGAAGAAAAGAAAGAAAAGGGGGAATCCATGCAGTGCTACTGTGCGGCGGATTTTGTAAATTGACTTTGTCACTGATCCCATCATTCAAGTAACTGAAGTATCCAGTCTGGACCTAAGGAGCAAATCGATCGGTCTTCTAACGCTACTAAAAGAATGACCCCGCGGTCACCCTTGGGGTTGAGCGCCATCGTGAAAGACCAGTCACTATCCTGTGTCCCCAGGACAGAACTGAACCGAGCCTGGCACGGGTGATGCTTCTCTTCATGTCTCTGAGCTCAAAGGAAATTGGAAAAGAATCATAGCAACACGAAGCGGAGAAGCCTTCGCGCCTGCCCTGGTTGCCCGGTGGCTGTTCTTAAGTGGGCGCCCCCCTGAGTCGCGGTAACTGGTCCAGCACCTCCGTCTTGCACATGGAAGAACTGAGGTGCACACTCTCCTGGCGTGAGCACCACCCGACGCTGACCACCTCTGTCTCTGGGCTCTCTCTGAGACCCTGAGCTGTGTGTTACCAGCCCAGCTTTCTTCTCCTCCACCTCCGCTTCCTCGTTTGTAAAAGAAAGGGCTAGATGACCCAGGATGACCTCGAACCTGCGTCCTGAAGCAGGGTAGATCAGGGACCCTTGTCACCTTATTTCCTTTGCCCCATCTTACACAGGGCTAACTGGCACACACAGGCCCGCTTCTGCCCGGCTGCCCCCTTCACAGCTGAAACAGAGGGCCAGTCCCTTAGAGGAAATCACCAGACCCTACTTCTCAAAGGCCTGCCTGCGCAGAGCTCCCAAGTGTGAGCCACAGTCACCTGCAAGGGCAGATCACCTACTGAAGACCTCATCCACATTGCCTGCGGCTCATGCATCTGACTTTAAACCTAGGAAGGATCGTTCCACACTTCAGCAGTAAGCATCATGGGTAAGGCACAGGAAGCTGAGTACCAAAGTGACTCCGTATGCCCAGTCACCCCTCATTCAGTGTAAAACACTCCTAGCAAAAAGACCACCAGAGATGAACTGAGGACTCAAACACATGACCCCAAGTCCCCTCCGAGTCCTCTATCACGTTCCCTCACAGCCCCCTGGACCGTCCTCCCGTAAGCTGTCTTAACTGTGTCTCTGTCTTGGGGAGCTCTTCTCATGACTGCACCCCGGCCGTCACCCAGGCCACCACACCCTCCGCGCCTGGTGCTCCAGGACTCCGCTCTTGGAAGTCTGGACTCCGGGGTGAGCCCAGCCACTGACTGACCTTCCCAGAGCATCTGTCAAAAGGCTGCCCCTGCTCCTGCTCCCAGACCCACTGGGTATCAGCAGCTCCCATCACAGTGCCGGAGCTCCCCGGACCACCCCGCTGCACCCCGTGACGGAAGAGGGCGGCAGGAGACTTCTTCTCTTGCTGGTGTTTGTACAAGGCCACCCAGCGTCCTCCGGTGTCAGGCAGGAGACAGGAGACAGCCAGGATCCCTCTAGACAGGAGAGGGAACTGGAGTCGGAAATCCTACATCTGCCATTTGGGGCAGAGTCACTACCCTTTCCAGGCCTCGATTTTTTTCATCAGTAAAATGGGTGTCAAACCACCCTGCCTCCCCCACCTAGCGCCACAGCGCATGCTGTGCAGGGAATCACCCCTTGGTGGCGGGAGCTGGGGGCTGGTCCTCCTCATCCCTTATGGGTGGAGGGCTCCTCCCAGGGTTTAGCTCCTCGTGCCCCTGACTGCGCAGAGAGGTGCAGGAAACGGCGGCAGTCCCCTGGAG